ACTTGGTTCCTTCTTCACCGCTCGAAGGCCTCAAAGCGGCATCCTTGGTTACACTTGCATAAAAGGAAATCGGTAACGAATGGAGCACAAAGAACACTTCGAAGGAAACGAGAAGTAAAACCTTACCATGATTCTTGGCCTCCCATCTACCTTTTGCCAAATCACGCCAAGCGCGTTTGGCATAAGAGGAAGTCGAGGCTAACTTCCGAACCTAATCCTCGAGGTCGGGCACTGCTTGTGGCATCCAAGGGGCAGCTGTATATCGAAAAAAGACATCAGAAAAAATCGGGAAGAGATACGAAAAGCAACGTCTTATGAGAACCACTTACGGTTGAAATTCCATTCCTCGGGAAATGGCATCTTCTCTTCCGGAATAAGATCACGGGTCCTCACCAGAATATAACTTCCCATCCAACCCCGATCCTTATCTTCGTCGATGCTCGACATTAAAGCCTTTGATGCCCGACGATGAAGTCTGATTAGTCCTCGAAAGATTTGAGGCTGATACAATCGTATGAGGTGATTCAGGGAAAAATCCAGCCCCCCGGCTTTGATGGAGAAGAAACGAAGTAGGATTACTATACGCCATAGAGAGGGATGAATTTGACCGAGGGTGACCTGATATCTTTTGCAAAAATCAATGATCACCAGGTCGACGGGACCCAATATGAAGGGATAAGTGTAAACACTTAAAAACCCCTCCACATAGGTGATGACGCTCTCTTCGGGGGATGAAAATTGCAACACAACCTTGAAACCCCAGTTGCAGTCTTTCCTAACAGCCTCGAGATGAACCTCCATTATAGAGCACATGTACATCGACACGTGCTCGCATCGACCCGGAACAGATGAAGGATTCTCAACCTTAAAATTGATCTTCAGAGTACACGGGCCAGGAACATAGTCATAGGTGGACGGCTCCACTGGTGCCTTATCGTCGGACGGCCGTGAAGAAGAAGCTTTCTCCTTCTGAGGTACAGTTTTCGAAGTTTTGGCCATTGATATGAGAGGAAGAAAGGCAAAGAAAAGTGAAAAATTGACGACACCAAAACTCTAGTGTAGATGGCTCTGCAAGCGACGAAATAGAGAGAAAGGATAAGAAAATTTGGAAGAGTGAATGCGTAAAAGTGGTGAATGTTAAATGGAAGGGTTATTTATAGGCTCGCATCATGACGGTTCAATATCGATCCTTGTTAAAATGTCAGCTTATAACCCGATCGAACCATCGAAAATCATATCGATTCTCACTGTATCCTTCGTGAGAAACGAGGGGACTATCTGTATATGGTCGAAATAGATTTCGGCCTTCCTACGTTCGATCGAGTTCAAGTGGTAAGAAATCGGAGTGAGATTTTTGGAGTGAGCTCCGAAGATAGTACAAACAAGCCTCGAGTCCGAAGGCTGCTCGAGGAGTTGGCTCGATAATCTTATCGAGCCCGTGACCAAATCAATCCGCAGGGCATTGTTTCGAGGTCGGAAATGCGCGACGCCCAACCCGAAGGTCGAACTCAAGCCAAGATCGAAGGGCTCGACCCAATAACGAGTTCGAGCCAGTATTGAGCTCACAGACAAGAGCCGTTTCAATCGCACCAAGAGAGAATCTTGGCGGGAATCGAGAAAGAGATAAATCATCATGGGTCCTCCACTATATGCTTTATTTTATTATTTTTTATTATAAATAAAGTAATGACCCTCTGCTATAAAAGGGGGATCCTTAAGCTATGGATATACTGAATACACTGGAACAAAAGATATCTCATTGTGTTTGTTTTACTTCATTTTATTCATTCTGTCTGTTCATTATTCCCATTCTCATAGTCAAGAATATTAGTATTGCTATCTCTCTATACAATTTGTATCAAAGGGTATCACGTATCCTTAGAACCATACATAAATTTAACGTTATCTGATTTTTCGGGTAAACAATAAGATTAAAATTTGATACCAAATTCCCCCCACCCATTGGAAGATAAGCTTTGTTTGATGTACCTAAAGACTCTTTAAAGATTTATTGCTAATCATGAATATAGGTAGGAAGATTAGGTGTGGATATCTTTCTTCAATATCTTAGTATCATACCCATCTTCCTAGGAATTTAATACTCCCTCCGGTCCATTTTAATTATCCTGTTTCACATTTTTTAAGAAATAATTAATTAATTTTTTTATATTACTATACCCTTATTTAATACTCTCTACTTTTACTCTTTCCTTTCCGGTACATAATAAGTAATTTTTTAGTTTTTTTCACATAGATTAAGAAATTTATCTTTTAACATTAATTAACAATAAACTTGACCATATTAACCTTTACTATCTCTTCACATAAATACTCCTAACATATATTCTAACACTATTTACTCCAAGAGCAGTGTAGGAAAAAAATAATTGATTCATTCTTGAAATCTAGAAAAATCACTTATTTTGGACCATAAAAAAAGGTTGAAAAATCACTTATTGTGGACCGGAGGGAGTATATTTTTATGTGTTGCAGTTAGTGTTTTTATTTTCAAGAACATTTAATACTAAGGGCAAAATGAAAAAATATAATTAATTGTACTTTGATTTTTTAAAATGATAACTATTTTGGATCAAATATATTTAGTAACGAGGCCAACTAATATGGACTAGAGGGAGTAAAAAACATCTTTGAAGAAGAAATGACTTCAAATCGAAATATACATTTTTATCTTATTCTCGTGCTTTGATGCCTATTAAACACAATATTTATCTACTTGTGTACTGCCCCGTTTCATTATCTGTCATGATTATCTTGTACACGTCCTTAAAGAAAAATTAGTTAGGATGAAATTTTGATTACTTTACCCTTATTCATGTCTTAATATTTAATCCTTCTTTCTTGAATATTTTTTCAATTTATGTGTCATCTCCATCAATAACATTACTTAAATTTTTACTAAATGTGAATGCAAATAATTTACTCTATAGGATATCTCAACAGACACCTATGATAAACTAAATTAACAAATTTGAAGAATAAGTAAAATCAACGCTTCCAACAGATATTGCATGAAAAGGAACTTAATTCATCTTTTCTTAATAAAAATCTTTACAGTTAAATATTTTCTTGGTTAGTTTCTGTTTGAGACTGTCTACTTGTTTGCTAAGTACTCCAAGAAGCATTGGAGATGCTCAATAGCATGATAAATGTAGTGCTTCCGACAAACTATTGAAGTATTAATGAGCTCGTAAAATTAGAGTATAGTCGTTAGAAATTAAATTCTGAAGATGTAAAGAATCTATCTCCAGGCTGGATCATACATTATTTAATATGAATTTAAATACATGTGGAACATATCAGTCTTCCTTCTTGATTATTTCCAAGGTACAAAAATTCATAAATAAATACCTCTACCCCCAAACCCCACTCCACCAACCAGTGATGAATTCAACCACGGGTCTTGAACAAAGTCAGTGTGATTCGACAACCGGGTCAGTGGAGGATAGTATCTCGGTAGCGTTATCCGTATCTTGTGAAGGTAGAGAAACTATTTTCGAAATTCTTAGGGATCGTTTGGTAGGGTGTATAAGAATAATGCGGAATAAGGTGTATTAATAATGCATGAGTTACTAATGTAAGCATTAGTTATGCAGATATTATTTCTTATCTACTGTTTGGTGTGATGTATTAAAAATTAGGGAAAAAGCCCAAAAATGACCTTGTGGTATTCGAAATGGATCAATTATATCCCCCGTTTAAATTTGAATTCAAAAATGACCCTGCCGTTATAAAATGGGTCTAATAATGCCCTTGTGTTATTCAAAATGGATCAATAATGCCCTGTTTTTTTTTAAAAATGCTTTTAAAAACTGAAAAATATATATTCTGTAAAAACTAGAAAAAGAAAGAAATTTACAAAATATATATTTTTAAGTCTTTTCACTTTTTTTAAAGTATTTGTTTTATAAACACTGGATTTTTTTTTTTAAAAAACTGGAAAAAAAAAACTCTCCTAAAGCAGTGGACTACATATGCATTAGTTTTAAATATTCATTGAACCGTCAAATTGAAAAAAAAAAGATTTGTAAATGAATATTTAAAAACCGACTAAACCGACATAATCGTACCGTACCGAACCGATTTTTAGATTTTTTTAATAAAACCGTATGTTTTTATATAAATCTATAATTGTACCGATAATTATGGTAGATTTTTTATTTTATAAAAATAAACCGAAAAAATATTGAACCGTCAAATTGAAAAAAAAAAGATTTTGCAAAATATTTTTATTTTTTTAAAACTAATGCATATGTAGTCCACTGCTTTAGGAGAGTTTTTTTTTTCCAGTTTTTTTAATTTTTTTTCCCCAGTTTTTACAAAATAAATACTTTAAAAAAATTAAAAAGACTTAAAAATATATATTTTGCAAATTCCTTTCTTTTTTTAGTTTTTACAAAATATATATTTTTCAGTTTTTTAAAGCATTTAAAAAAAAAAATTCAAGGCATTATTGATCCATTTTGAATAACACAAGGGCATTATTAGACCCATTTTATAATGGCAGGGTCATTTTTGGATTCAAATTTAAACGGGGGTTATAATTGATCCATTTCGAATACCACAAGGTCATTTTTGGGCCTTTTCCCTAAAAATTATAATGCATTGCATAATTTTTAAGAAAAATAGTTGTTTACAAAAATGCCCTCCATATTCTCTAGCTTAAGGGACTTTAAGGATAATTTTGTCTTTAACCATACTAATGCATGCATTAATAGTATTGGTATTACTAATGTCATGATTTTCTATGCATTACTTATACATAGTATAATACAAAGTATGATATATTAGTTATACAAAAGTTGAAAAAATATACCTAACAAGGTATTAGTAATGCACATAGCTTGCATTATTTTTTCTAATACCTCATACGGAACTACCCTTGGCTCAAAAAAAGCATAATAAGAGTATTATGGAGAAACCATGAAAACCACGGGTCATCTGCTATAAAGAATTAAATATACATATCAAAACTTGTATTCTTCAAAATTCATGACATTTAAATTCTAAATTTGCCAATGCCACCAACCCAACCCCAATCTCATTCACTCAAAAACTTCAAAGCTTATAAAAATCAAACCACTCAAAAAATAAAAAAATAGCATCTTAGTATAGGAGTAATAGTTTCTTCACCGCTTTCAGCAAAAGTGTTGATTCAGATTGTGTAGACCATTATCCACAAATTTTGAAACACCATTCTTTCTCATCACTTTAAAAATGAAAGGAATCGATATATTCTGTGCATCCCAAGCTGCAACTGCCATATGTCTTAGTATGCAAGAAGCCTCATCTTCTTCTTCTTCTTCTTCTGTAATCCAATTAGGCGGCGGCAACATTTCTGCCAGCCGCCTAATCGACCGTTACAACCCCATCATTAGAGATTCGAGAAGAATATCTCATTCTTCTGATCAACCACCCATTTTTCCAAAACCAAAGAAGAAAATTACATGTTCAAAACCATCAAAAGAAAGGCAAAGTGATTATAAAGGTGATGTTGTTAAGAGAAAAAGTAATTGGAGTTGTACAAAGCCTAGTGAATTTATCACCCCACCTAGTTCTTCAAGGTATCTTTTGAGTGAAAAAGATTTGGTTGATGCTTTATCTGATTATAATGACGATCCAGTTTTGAATTCCAAGTCTTGTCATCAAGTCGAGTCTTCTCCTCCAAAGCCACCATCTTCTTCCTCATGCTCTGCGGACCAGGTTAGTTAGACTAAAAATAGAATACACAAGGTATAATATAAAAAATGTGTTTGGCGTATACTAGACAATTTTGGGATAAACTTTTATTTACAATTTGAATCATATATGAATTTTTAAAAGGACTTTGGCGAAGAGCCTTAAAAATGGCATATTTATCATTGTATCATTTTATCTTATCATTAATGTGGGATAAAATAATATTAATCCCCGGATTGCTAGTTCTGGATTCAAAAATTCAATCAAACGCGGGATAGAATAATTCTGCGTTAAATCGCGAGATTATTATCTCTTTTTTCACTAACTAAATGATTATTTATCTCACCTTCTATATATATCGGATAAATAATTCTATGATTGTGCTATAAAAGTTATCCTAGCTTTACTATTGAGTTAGATTTTATGCCCTTCCTTTTTATGTGGAAGCAAGAGGAAATTCGTAGTTATAACAAGTATTATAAAGACAAGAGAATTAGTTGTAGAGATAAGTGGTCCAAAGGACAATGCAAGGAGATAACAAGACAAACTAATGAATTTTGATAGCAGGTGGTGGTTCTAAGAGTTTCACTGCACTGCAGAGGATGTGAGAAGAAGATGAGGAAACATCTCTCTACAATGGAAGGTAAGGCTCTGGACTTAATTTTGTGACAACCTTTCCGTTTTCTAGTACTAGTATAACCTATAAGTTCATTTCGGAAAAGGTTCAATATTACCCCTAACTATGCGTTGTGGAACACATTGGTCCTCCGTTTTAAATAAGACCAATAAGACTAATTAAATCCCGATTAATTTTTAAGTGAGGGTCGTTAGTCAATAAGGATATTTTTAGGCCTTCACATTAACGGGAAGGACATAAACGACCACAACTTTAAACACAGGACAAATGTCTTCGATAGCACATAGTTGAGGGGCAATTTTGATTCTTTTCCGATTTGTTTTTTGTTTTGATAAGTTTCCTTATGGGTTTTGTGCTACATAGGCCGTCCAAATTGGCCCAATCTTTAGATGGACTAACTTGAGTTGTACTTAAATTGAAATGTCAATGAATATATGTCAAGCCTAAATTTGCCCAAATTTGGGCATGTCAGGCGAGTTATATTTTGTGGGTTAAATTTGACGCTATTGTTAAAGGCAACCCGGTGCACTAATCTCTCGCTATGCGTGGAGTTCGGAAAAGTGCTGGACCACAAGAGTCTATTGTACGCAGCCTTACCTTGCATTTCTGTAAGAGACTATTTCTACGGCTTGAACCTCTGACCTCATAGTCACATAACAACAACTTTACCAGTTACGCCAAGTCTCCAATGGACACCACTATTCCTATCGCAAATAACATGTAACAATTTAATTGTGATGAGCAGGGGTGACATCTTTCAATATAGACTTTGTTGCAAAGAAGGTAATAGTAACTGGGAATGTGACACCATTGGAGGTTCTTGCAAGTATTTCTAAGGTGAAAAATGCACAACTTTGGCCACCTACAGTGGCATCTTCAGCCCCTTCAACCAAAGCTAATGATTAACTCTGAGTTGAAGAATGCAAAGCAGCTGGTTGTATCTGATGGAAAATTGAAGAATCTTTCTCGAAGTCCACCAGTTTTCCAGCTATTGTAAATTGAATTTTTGTTTTATTAGACAAAAAGAAGTGTAGCTTGGTTTGTTTTCTCTATCTTATGGTTTTAATTTGTGGTATTAGTAAGCTTCTATTCTTGAGATAAACATTAATTTGGTACCTAGTAAGTGATTTCTTTAGCAATCAAGTTTAAATAAAGATTACTCCCTAGTTCCTAACATGGACTAATGGCCGATCGAATGCTGAACTGAAAAATGTGTGTCTCACTTCCAGGAATTTAAAAGTATGGGTAAACGACGGAAAAAGTGCCCCCACTAAGTTCACATTGTAATAGTGATACTACTTGTATATTTACTCGTTCAAACACGTTTTGAGTGACTCTTTAATAACACTGCTTATCGTCATGGATTACAGGTATTCAAAGAAATGACATGTAAACACAAATGTTCCACATGATAATAGTGATACTACTTTTTGTGTTTTGGTTAATCATTGGTTAATCATTGCAGCTAGGGTATGATGTACACACCTTGGGTTGGGTTGATTCAGATATTTTAATTACCAAATCAAATCGATGGAATCGGATTTTTAAATCTATAAACCAAACCAAATCAATAAAGTTGGGTTTTTCAATCTCGGTTTTTCTCGAATTTTTCGTTTTTTTTCCTTCAATTTTTCGAGTTTTTTTCCGGTAAAATCTTCATAGCACAAAATATGTAACTTATGCTCCAAATATTTCCTTAGTCCTAGTAAGATACAACTATACAATGTATTTTCTAAGAAAATAACATAATAATATGAGATAAGTCATAGCATTATACTAAAATATTCAGTAACAAAGATAATAAAATTGCATAAAGCAAATATTGCTAATTAATAAGTCATAATGAAAATTAACATAATCTAAAAATACTATATAGGTCATACTAAAATAAGTATAGCTGATAAGTACTATTAATTACATAATCAAGCACTAAAGAAAAAGATAAATTAAGTTATGCATTTTCATTATAAACCAATGTAAAACTAAAAAATAGATATTCAACACTATCATCATTCTTAGGGTTGAATTGAATTTCTTCTGTTAGCATTAGTATTGATTTGAACTTTGTTTGAGTTACTACATTTATGGGTTATAAAATTTACTTACCATTCAAGAATGTTAAGTCCAAACTTGAAATAATACGTTAAAAGATAAAACTGTGAAAAAGTTTAAAAAATATTTATAAATTACATTACAATAAATATTTATATGTATAAAATATATTTTAAAATTGTATAAATGTACAATCGGACTGATTTGGTTTCAATTTGACTTTTTTTAGTTAAAACCAAACCAAACCATAATTGAGTTTTTTTTTCGATTTGACTCGGATTATCAGTTTGGTGCGGTTTATCGATTTTCTTTGTACACACTTAATTGCAACTGTGAATAAGAGAAATGTTCCTTTCCAAATGATAGGATCTTCATTAGGGGTGGGCATAATATCGGCCGGACCGAAAAAATCGATCGAACCATTAATTTCAGTATTTCGGTGTCAGTTTAATCGGTTATTCAGTCGGTGTGCGATTTATAAAATATTAAATTTCGGTATTCAGTGCGATAAACGGTTTTGGTATTTCGGTTAAACCGAAAAATCGAAGTTTTAGGTATGAGTTGAGAAAAATAGGTTTGAACATATGGGCTCAACACTTGGCCACCAACTTTTTAGCCCAATTTAGTGATTTACCCAATACCCATTTGAAACCAAATTTACCCAATACCCATCTGAAATCCAATTTACCCAATACCAGTACCTAAATACCCTACAAGCCAACAAACTTACCTTTGTAGTCTCCAAGGTAAAAAAATCTCAAAAGTTCATTATTTAGTGAAAAGAAACAATTTAGTGTAATCAACTTCTACTTAAATGCTAACACTAACTTTCGTTCTTAATCAAAGAAAATAACTAGAGCGTTCATTTCGAGAGTGCCAAACTGCCAACTAGAAATAGTGAATTTGCTAGAATAAAATTTTGTGATTACAAAATGCAAGAGCCACAGATGACATAAAGAAAGCAAGTGAAAAGAATGCTATGTAAATCTAATAAAAAATCTCATTGATACAATAATATCAATCAAATTTAATATATCTGCCAATTGCAGAGGGTAAAGATCTATAGTTTATATCGGATATAAAAATCTTGAACCGTTAATAACCGAAAAACTAAACCGAAAATAACCGAACCGAACCTTGAAAAACCGCACCGAACCATAAATACTTTGGTTTGGTTTGGTTAGTAATATTACAAAATCGAAAACCGATAAAACGTACTTTCATACTAACCGACCGAACCGACCGATATCCACCCCTAATCTTCATTGTATATCCTTCTTCACGAGTCCACGGATATGCCTTCATTTTCTATAGTTTTTGTGGAGGTTAGATTTTATGTCCCCCTCCTTAACGTATTAACCTCTTAATTTTAATTTACAAGATAGGTTCCATGTCAAACCCCCCGTCACCTAAAGAAGGATTAATATAAAAAATAAAAAATAAAAAATAAAACACAAAAATTCCTCTCTTTTTATGTAAAGCTGGGCACTAATAATAGGGGTGTACATGGACCAAGTTAGTTCGATTTTTATCAAAACCAAACCAAACTAATTATATCGATTTGGATTTGTTCAATTTTATCGGTTTTTTCAAATTTTTTTGTTACACGAATATTTTTCAATTTTACTTTGTTAAAGTAATAGATAAAGTTTTGATAAGTGAATATATGTTTAGTAAAAATTAAAAATTGACAAACATATGATCTATTAAAATATTTTATGGGAAAAAGTTTTAATAACACATGATGGTTATTTTTTTAGTTGTCTAACATTAATTTTTCGTTAATGTACGCTTTTAAGGTTAACCGAATTTAATAATTAAACATAAAAATCAAGATGATACCTAACTAATAATATATTCTATTTAATTTTAAATTATCGAAATATCATTTAAAATTCAAAAAAGATATGAGAAATCTTGACATATGAATATGGAAGAACAAAGAGATGATTGACGCATTCTAATAATATTTGATAAGAAAATGATACAACCCATTATTTATAGTAAATCAAAATGAATACACTTCATAGTTGTATTAAATATTACATCCCATGAGAAGATCTCAAATATTTTTTAAAGAAAATTCAATATAAAGTCTTAAAAGTATATATAAAAATTATATATTTATATGTCGGTTTGGTTCGGATTTTTTTACTCAATACCAAACCAAATCAAACCAAACCTAACCGGGTTTTAATCGATTTGGTTTGACTTTTCGGTTTGGTGCGGTTTTCTGGTTCAGTTTGAACACCCCTACGTAATAAGCATGCTTCTCCAGCAAAATAAATTAAAAAAAATCATAGAATAGCAAGAAAAAGGATAAAGAACATCTAAAATTTAATCGATTCCCAACCTTAGTTATTTAGTACCATTTATGCTAGTACGTTAGTGGTAAATCGTAATCTACTATGGAATCACATTAGAACTATTTATGATAATTATAAGGGTCCCTAGTTTATGGGAGGCGACTTCAATGACATTATGAGTCAAGAAGAGATATGGGGTGGTAGACCGTTAAATAGAACTAGATCCTCTAAGCTTTGAGCCTCTATTAATTACTGTAATCTCAGTGACCTAGGATTTAAAGGCAGTCGTTATACTTGGTCAAATCATAGAAGGAGAAGCCATGGTTTAATATTGGAAAGGTTTGATCGTTGTTTGGTTAATGATGCGTGACTACAACAGTACCCCCAGGCCTCAGTCTTGCATCTCCCAAAAATATACTCTGACCATAACCCACTCCTTATTAATCTTACCCAATCGCATACCAAATCTATAGATAGACCATTCCATTTAGAATCCTATTGGTGCACCCATCCTGACTTTACCTCAATTATTTATAATAGTTGGCAGGGGTAAGGAATTCGCGGAGGCCACTCAATTTTAGTTAAGGGTATCCAACAATCTTGTCACTCTACCAGTACCTTTCTCCAAAATCTGGAACAAAGTCTCTCACTTGAATACAATACCCTTCTTAAAATTGAGGAAGACTACTGGAAACTCCGATCTCGCACTAATTGGTTAAATGAGGGAGATGCCAATACCAAATTCTTTCACCTCTCAGTTATTAATAGACGTAGGAGGAATAGAATCTCTTTTTTTAAAGACGATAACGATAACTGGATCATGGATCAGGATAAACTTATGGACCATACCCTTGCTTACTTCAAGTCTATTTTTTCTATAAGCCATATCTCCACTAACTGGCAAGATATCAACAAGAGTCCTACGAGCTTCAACACCTCTGGCTTTCTGACCTAGATAGACCCCTAGGCGACCAAGAAATCATATCTGCTTTATTCTCATTCAAGCCCTTTAAGTCCCCAGGATTCCATCCTTTCTTTTACCAAAAAAATTAAAATATTGTAGGGCCCTCAATTACTAAGCTTTGTAATGAAATATTTAGGACCTAATCAATTCCCAACTTTATTAATAAAACCTACTTATGCCTCATCCCAAGTTCCATAATGCAAACAACCTCAAAATATTTCGGCCTATTGGACTTTGCAATACTATTTACAAGATCATTACAAAGATTATTGTCAACCGTATTAAGCCCTTGCTAGACAAAATCATTGGTCCCTACCAAGCTAGCTTTCTTAAAGAGCATAGCGCGTGTGGTAATGCAATCATCATCCAAGAAATCATTAGTCATATTCAAAAACTTAAAGGTTCTAGAGGTAAACTCATCCTTAAAATAGATCTCGAAAAAGCTTTTGACATACTTGAATGGTCCTTTGTCTACCGTGCCCCAAAATTTTTCAAATTCCCTCCAAACATCACTAGACTAATTATGAGTTGTATATCTACTAGCACTATAGCAATGCTTGTAAATGGAGCCAAAACTAACTTCTTTTCTCCTACTAGGGGCATCCGGCAAGGAGATCTCATGTCCCCGTACATCATTATTCTATGCTTGGAGCTATTATCGCTCTATATTAACCACCAACTCAATGTTGGCCTTTGGGACCCCATTAAATTAATTATGCCCCACTAGTCCCCAACTATTACATCTATTCTTTACAGATGATCTCACACTCATGTCTAACGCCACTACTGAGTCTGATAACTCAATTCATCATTGCCTAACTTACTTCTACTCTCTCTCTGGACAAAAGATCAATATCT